GAGGCGCTCGCAATGCGGGCAGCCGGCCCCCTCAAGAGCCGACTCTGCGTGCCTCGCTCCCAAGCAAACCATGCACAGGCTGTGTGTATCCCCACTCGTGATGTAACGTGGGCAGGGAGGAACACACAACCTATAACGTGGCTTGTACTCGCCCTTTGCATGCTTTGTCTTAGCGTGAGCTTTATAGACTTTCTCTCACAATAGACCGACAACAATAAATATGACTGACACACAAAGAGCGCTTCGCTGAATGACAGAAAGCTGACGCTGGCTCCGCCGCACGTGCTTTTATAGCTTCCTGGTCATGACGTCACCCGCCCGTGACGTCCCGCTCAGCTATTGGACTGATTTCACATGTGATTCAGAGCGTGGTCACAGAAGGCGTTCCCCTAGCGTTTTCCGACGCAGCTCGAGTTCCTGAAGAGGAATCCTGAGTTTCATAATTTTTCATAATTTTATAAGTCATAATTACAACTTAGTTGTGCCATTCATGTGTGTTCTACTCATAAATACAATAATTTGGACATGAATGCAGCATTAGTTGTGCAAGACAGGAACTACTACTTCTGATTCCGATTTGCTATTTATTTCATATTAATGATGGCAAATTATATAACATTTACAGAAAAAAATTAAATTTAATAGAAGCATCAGTACTGATGTTATTGATTTTTAATTTAGATTTAGGGTGCGATCTTTCACACTCCTGTATCTGTGTGTGTGTGTTCATGGGAATCTATCGGCTAGAGTTTCAAGGAGAAGGGAGGAGAGAGCTGTCAAACTTAATCAGCCCATGACTGTTTCTGTGTGTCTCTTACATGCAACTGTCTGACTAAATATAGCAGCAATGTGACAAGCTAGTCCCTGATTCTCTGAGACAACATTTATAAAGGGAAACCCATCGAAATCACATGGTACACAAAATGCGTATTAAAAACAACCTGACGCTTCCATTCCAGGACCAGATTTGCAGAAATATGCACATTTAAAAACTTTAGGTGTATGAAAAAGATATTTTATGATGAGTACACCTTGATTAAGTCTTACTGTATCTTCTATTAATCACATATTCTGGTTAGGCAATTAATTGATCTTGTAAACGTGCTTGTCTGCATTTTTAATTCATATCTCTGTCACAATGAGAATCTGTGTATAATGACTGTTATCAGATTGTCAGAGAAATCTGTAACAAAGAGAAGACAGGTCATTATTCTTCATTTACACACACACCTTTTGTCACATAGTAGCTGTTTTCTATACGGTAGCAAGGGTGCTTTATAGTAACGCAGTAAAAGAAACAGTGTGAGCTTCAGGGACCTTTTCAAAGCCTAGGAATGTTAACTGAACCGTGTGCATTTGTATGGTTGATGGAAAGCAGGAATAGTCAAGCGACGCATGAATATACTCCCATGGGTCATAAAAAATGTGATTATACAATATTGTCACAGTTTGAGGCAGAAGATTCATTGACTCACACTTTTGAGTCACAAGCATTTTGTTATGGCATTTTAATTTATGGGAAGCATTAGTAAAGAGCCATGGTCAGCATTTCTCCAAACTTCTTCAACATTTATACAGGCAATAACTCTAAAGGCCCGTTCACACCAAGGACGATAACTATAAAGATAACAATAAAGATATAGTTCTAAAAATCGTTCTCAATATTAAAGAATAGCAGAGTCCACACCACAACTATAACGATAAAGGCACAGAGAAACAATATCGTTGGAATCACTTTCAGGATGATTTTTTCCAGATGATGAACGATAAAAAACAGCCAATCAGAATCCATCCTGCTGTAATGAGCTCGAGAATTTAAAGCGGTAGACGTGCATGCGCTTAGAATAAACAGACGATATCGTTCGCTGGTGTGGACGCTAATATCGTTATCTTTATAGTTATCTTTAACGTTCTTGGTGTGAACGGGCCTTAATTCCCATTTTAGCATTTTGCTCTACTTCCATTGGATAAGATATCATATTATCCCAGAAGCTGCTTTTTATTTTTCCTTATGACAAACCACTTAATTTCC